ATATATTGTTAACAAAAACATTTGTTTTTAGACTATTTAATGACTAGATAATATCTCTGTGAAATATATATAGAACAAATTAAAGATATATTGGATAAATATTTATATGGGATCACTAGATTATATCATTTATGATACTAGAAAGAACTTTGTGAATAAAAAGTTTATTCAATTTGTTAATATAATGACAATTAATATAAAGAGTATATCAGTCGAAGTATATTGATTAATCAGAATTGTTGAATGATATCATTACTTTATTCGATAAGTATATAATATTATACAAAAGGAAATAAAGAATTTAGGAGTATTGAAGGAAATAATACTATAGATGATAGTCAAAACTATTAATGATACAATCAGTCCTGATAGACTTGTGCCCACTCTACTAGTATTTAGTATATATTCACGAATAAGTGAATATGATTCATTTATACCATTTATTTTGCAATATTCAATTGCTATCAAAAAATGCAATTATTGAAATCAACAAGTTGAAAGCAGAAAGACAAATGGCAGATGTACTAAATCAACGAAATGGATTTGTAACCATACCGATTCATGATTTACCCTTGAATTCAGATATATGGGTATAGCGAGAAAGTAGTAATCAAAAAGGTTGGATTGGATTATTCAAACTATTAAGTATTGATGGTAAGATTTGCAAGGTGAAACTACTAAGTGGACCAACAGAATTCCGATTTATTGTAGTCAAACCATTTCGGAAAAAAAAGTTTAGTAGTAATATTAACACCATCAATTATACAAGAATCAGTAATACAAGAACTAATAGAAGATGAAAATCTATTGGAAAAGGATCCATCAACTCAACCAAAATTATTATTCTAAATTGAAATTCTATAACAACATTATCCATATCGATTATGAGGCGATAGCCCAATAGATATCAATCTTGCAATGTTATATATTGAACCAGTTGATAAGAATTCTGAAAGCAGTATTAGAAACTCTAACAAAAAGACAAAACTATCAATACTACAGTTAATAATATTCTTTTAGAAAAAAAACAATTCAAATAATAATAATAATATAATCAATAAAATATTTATTAAAGAACCTATTCTGTATCTAATTATATTATCAATTTATAGTGAATCAAAACAAAAAAAGATCAATGGACTTATAGAAAGTGGTGTCTCCGAATTTATTAAGGAAAAGGATGTTTTTTTTGGTATCCGGATCTTCAAGTTATTATGTCATGCCGCCAGATTTTGAAAGAAGAGACCAACTAGACAGATAGAATCTCTACACTCCTACAACGACCTGCATGTAAGGTTCATGGGTTTTCATCTTGTCAGCCCCCTATTGATCCATTCACTTCTCCAAGATTATGCAGATTATGCCCATAAGCAGCAATGTCGGCTGTGGTTGGTGTGAATACGGGATGTTACCTTGCATTGGCGCACGAGATTGAATGCTTGCCACCCCTTTATTCAATATTCCGAAAAGACTTCTAGAACTCCTAGTGAAGTTTTCGGCTAAGCTTCTGATTCTTTAAAGTACAATATGGTTTTCTTTACATTTTGGAAGCCCTTCTGATCATCCGCATCTATCAACATTTCCCCCATTCATTCATGTACCATGTCTGAGAAAGGACTAACCAAGACCCAGGCAAAGATGATTGCCTGGACATCCATTACCGTTCTTTTGGGAGCGGTATGGTTTGCTACTTCGCGGTCATCACCCACCCAGGTTCAATGTCGCTGCTTTCCGGGTGACACGTGTTGGCCATCCTCTGGCAAATGGGATGCGCTCAACAAGACTGTCGAAGGCAGATTGATAGCTACGATCCCAATTGCCAGTCCATGTCACGATACCTTCCCAGGCATCAGCTACGATGCCGACAAATGCGCCGAGATTCAGGCAAACTGGCCACGACCCGCGTTTCACGACGAGACTACACACTCCCCCATGGCCCCATTCTTTCCCAATATGAGTTGTGATCCATTCACTCCTCGCGATGCTCAGTGTATCATAGGTGCATATGTGCCTTATGCTGTTAACGCTTCTTGTGTTGCGGATTATCAGGCCACATTGGCATTTGCGACGAAAAATAACATTCGTTTAGTCATCCGAAACACTGGTCATGATTATATGGGCAAATCTACAGGCGCTGGTGCGCTGGCTTGTAAGTAGATCTAGTCCTTTCAGATTCCAAGCTCTAGCCTCACACGTTCTCTTCTGCATCTTCTTTATTTCCCAATGGCCACTTCAAACCCCTTTTTAGATAGGCAATCACTAACTCCCTAATGCACTAACTCCCTAATGGTTAGTGTGGACTCATCACATCAAAGAGAGATCTATTCTGGACTACAAGTCCGTTGCTTACACAGGCAAGGCGATGAAAATAGGCGCTGGTGTACAAGCTTCCGAAGCCCAGGCGACAGCAAATGCTCAGGGTTATGTTGTTGTGGAAGGAGACTGCCCAACTGTGGGAATAGCGGGAGGCTACACTCAGGGAGGCGGGACCAGCCCGCTTGAGTCTAAGTTTGGACTCTCAGCGGATCAAGTGTTAGAGTGGGAGGTGGTCACTGGAACGGGAGAACTTCTCACAGCGACGCCAAGTCAAAATTCGGATTTGTACTGGGCTCTTGCTGGTGGTGGAGGCGGCACATACGGTGCTGTGTTATCCATGACAGTGAAATTGCATAAAAACATGCCGACCACCGGTGCTACTCTTACCTTCATAGAGCCATCCGATAAGTACTGGGACGTGATTCAAACATTCCTGATAAATATGCAAGCAGTGCTCAAAGCAGGTGCTTCACTCTATTGGCAGGTTTTGCCCGGAAATATGTTCTACATGCCACAGTCGTACTTGCCAAACGGAACAGCTGAAGATCTGCAAAAGTTGCTACAGCCCACACTCAAGGCACTCAACTAAAGTAACATCTCATACGGTAAGTATGGCAGATCTAATCGTTTCCCCATTTTTCCATCATTTAGCTAACAGCTAGCTATAGCTTTCTCTTCTACCGACTTCCCCGCGTTTCAGGACGCTTTCTATACTTTGAACCCTGACATGAATATCACGGAGCTCAATCTTGGAGGAAGTATCATTCCACGTTCTCTCGTAGCATCCAATAGCTCCACCACCTCGTTAGTTAACGGCATTAAATCTATCTTGAATAATGGTGGTATCCTGGCAGGTGTTTCCATGGATATTAGCCAGGCGCCTACCCATCCTAATTCTGTCCATCCCGACTGGCGCAACTCGTTATTCCTGGCGTTCCTCGGCACGTAAGTCATTCTCAGATTTATGCAAAGCTATATGTAATACTGTATAAACTTGACTGACAGCGCAAATCAGACTTTACAATCGATCCAACATGACCGCCAATCTTCTCGGCCAAAAAACCGTGACTAACGTGCTAGACCCGGCTCTGGAAAGGCTAGTTCGCAATCCTGCTGCCTACCTCAATGAAGCCGATTTCAACCAGCCAAATTGGCAGCAGGTTTTCTATGGTGCAAACTATGCAAAACTTCTGTCTATTAAGGATAAGTACGATCCGAATGGCATTTTCTGGGGTCCAACTGTCGTGGGAAGCGAAGCATGGACAGCTGCCGCGGATGGACGGCTCTGCAAGACAAGGCATTGAATGTAAGGGACCGGCCATTCGTTTGATTGTTCCGTTTCTATCGTATTCTATCATAATCAATCTCATAGAAAGTACAAACCTCAAAATATTGGCCAATCAGAATCTAGATGTGTCTTGAGAGGATTAGGGGGTGGTATTTGTAGAATTTGAATCTTTTGCCGAAGTTGTGATTATGGGCACTGCTATTGTCATTCATCTCAGCATTATAGATGTAGACAGTGCTCATTCTTGATCACACTCCTTATATTCTATAACTTATGTGAACTTGGCTTATGTGATCCATCCTCAGAAATGCCGAGAGAATATGCTTGTAAAATATCAGTCAATCCATAGGCTCTCCCCTCTCTGAATCGCAAATCGTAGTATTGTACGATACAGTCAACACACCCACAAAGCTTGGTTCGGTTCCACTATCCAGGCAAGAAGCTATAAACGGCTCAAATTACGTTGCCAGTACAACACGTCATATTCTTTGACATTCTTCATCTCTGACTTGTCATACCTCCATGACCAATAAGGTAAATGATTATCCGTGCCTTTGCGGCGCGACTGAAGAAATTCTGACATTGTATTATCAAAAAAAGGAGACACCAATATGAATGATTTATTGAATGTAACGTAAATCGAGGAACAGACCGGAAGCTAGTCTAGACCGACTATGTACTAGGCACCCAATACTACATTATCTTTAATGTTTTCTTCAGGACAACTATTGTAAGGCAAAGCTGGATTTTACTGAGCTTTTGGTCAAGTCCACTTACTATAGATGCAATGGAGAGGCAAAGAAGTAGCGGACGAGGCATTAATTTGCGATTACATTTCCATCTATAAGTATGATTGATCTCTCTTGTCTAAGACGAGTATGAATTCAGCAATCAATCGTTGATTTCACAAAAAGCCCTCTTTCTAAGAACCCAGCTTCACCTCTTCATTTTATCTGTTATTCGCTTCTACCCATATCAACTTGTGTTATCTCCCACGCCTACACTATGTATCACGCGAGCGGTATTCTGCTACCCTTGCTCTTACTCTTGACAACGGCTGTCGACGGTCATTGGATAGTTCCCAGAACTTCTGACCGATGCCGATCAATTCCAGGGGATGCTTCATGGCCCAGTCCCGCCGATTGGGTTGCCCTGAACAAGACTGTTGGCGGAAGACTCATTGCTACCATTCCAATTGGAGCCCCTTGCCACACGTCCTTTTCACCATTCACTGGAACGAAGATCTCTACTTATGACAAAGAAGAATGCAATGCCCTACGAAACGAGTGGTTTCTTCCCGAAACTCATCTATCCTCATCATCGTCTCCTATGGCGTACTCTTTTTCAAACAACAGCTGTAATCCTTGGCTAGAACCGGATGTTCCCTGTACTATCGGTGATCACGTTGTATATGCAATCAATGCGACCGGTCCTCGTGACATCCAGCAAGGACTTGGCTTTACAAGAGATCATAATATACGACTTGTGATTCGCAATACCGGCCATGACTATCTCGGCAGATCTAATGGTGCCCATGCACTGGCGATATGGACCCATAACATGAAGTCCATCGACCTTGTCGAATATAATAGTGCAAATGATACAGGATCCGCCGTCAAAGTGGGAGCCGGAGTCCATGTCATCGATGCCTATACTTTTGCAAATCTTCACGGCCTTGTAGTAGTTGGCGGAAACTGTCCAACAGTCGGCCTTGCCGGTGGATATTCTCAAGGGGGAGGTCATGGTCCTCTAGCCTCTACCCACGGTCTAGGTGCAGATCAAGTGCTGGAATGGGAGGTTGTTACTACCAATAGTAAGCTACTCACTGCAAATAGCACTCATCATGCCGATCTATTCTGGGCGTTACGTGGAGGCGGTGGCGGCAATTATGGTATCGTAGTGTCTATGACAGTGAAAGTCTTTCTAGATACCTATGCTTCAAGCGCATATTTCACTGTTCTTGACAACGGAACCAACACCGACACTATATATGAAGCTATTGGAGGATTCTTGACAGTCTTGCCGAGCATCGTTGATGCGGGTGTGTATGCACTGTGGGTAGTTGAGCCGGCTGAATTTTTCCTGATGCCTGCTTTCGTACCCGGCTTACACCAGGAAGAGCTAGATACCATAATGCAACCGGCACTAGACATACCGAGTACTCTGAACTTAGACTATCAATACACATCTTCGGAGAGCTCTACGTTCTTGTCGGCGTACGAGGCCTTAACATCAAACTGGAATGTGTCAGATTGGAATACGGGAGGTCGACTCATTCCTCGAGACATTGCCAGCAATAACACTCAGGAATTGGTGGCAGCCATTCGAAATATTGGTTCGCGAACACTTTTCTCGGGTGTCAGCTTCAATGTGAAGAATGCCGTTTCATCGCCAGATGAAGTAGCCGTCAACCCTTACTTCCGCGAAACACTCTTCAATGTGTTTTTGGGCGTTGCCGTCAACTACACAGATTGGCCAGCAAATCTAGCAGGAGAGAATGAGATAACCGATGATTTGCTTACACCCTTGGAAGCATTGACACCAAATGGAGGCGCGTATATGAACGAAGCAGACTTCCAGCAGCCGGATTTCCAATCCGTGTTCTACGGAGTCCACTACGAGAGGCTCCTGGGGATCAAGCGTGCGTATGATCCAGATGATATCCTTTACGTGAAGACAGGGGTAGGCAGTGATCGCTGGGAAGAGCAAAGTGACGGAAGACTCTGTCTGACAAGTATTTGAAAGATATCCACTTACATCAATCGTGGCATGGCGGGTTCTCATACATCCAGGCGGCCTTACTTAAGCTTGACTATTTGATTCAAATGATCTAGTCCGTTCTGCAGTCCGGACTATTGGAAACACTGAGATTTTTTCGATAGTTCTTAAGTATCTAGATTATGACAAATATAAACATTGTATTAATACTTAAGGATTGTATCATACTATCGCCACCAAGCTGATGCTAATAATTTCCTCGCCCCAGCTTCCTATACAGTGACATGATACCTTGTGACAGCACTAGAGCATAATGCTAGGCTATACAAAAATAACCCACAATCTATAGGGACTCGCGGGTTATCCGATCTGTAGAATATGTATTAAAGCTATTAGTTACTCATAAGGTATCTATTGAAATTTCAAAATCATTTGCTCTATGTAGATTATCTATAAAGTATTTACAGATAGTCTATAGATTTACTAATTGTGACGGAACAGACGGCTCTCTTCCGTCCACTAGCTCATACGCCCTATGTGGTATAATAAGACGGTTCTTTTAGACCTTCCTTTCTTAGCCTAGAGCTCTAGACCTAGGCATCGTACGATGCTTATCTCTATTTCTCCTTTCACTCCTTTAGGCCTAGCCACTAGGGCTACCAAAACCTGTATATATAGTCCTCCTTTTAGCACCCTACATAGCTCTTCACTTGTAGATTCTAAGTACACAATCGGAGTCCTGTTTATACCCTTTTGGTTACACTAATTTGTAGATAATTTTTATAATTTTTATAATTTTTATAATTAATATAAAGATTAATATAAAGATCTATAAATTACATTAATATTAATATTCATAGGTTTATGAATTAGTAGATTATTTGTAAATAAATATAGATATTCATTTAGAATTTTCAATAATCTGTTTTGTTTATAGATAATCCAATGAGTTATCTAATAGCTTAATAATCCGCCCTACAAGGCTCTGTTGTATAGTTTAATGGCATCTTTTGGGTTAGCTTTAGATATATGACAGATGTATAGATTGTGGGATGTGGCTTGTGTATCGAAATTCATGATTGTAGATTGTGATTTATAGTTGATATTTTTATCACGAAGAGAACCGAGAAGAACTTGGAGAAGGGGCATGGTTTGAGGAACTGCTTCTCTCTTTGAGACTTAGCTTTATTGAAGTAAAGTAGGGGAACAATTGGAGGAACTTGAGCTATTTATCGATCCCGAACGGCGAAGTGGTGACTTGTGCAGTGAAAGCTGTGGCTACCACTGGCTGTAGAAGACTCTGACGAAGATGGTTTGTTGATTTTCGATGTAGATGACCAGGATACTCGAGTGAACTCGAGCACTTAAATCTCTACCCCACCCAATACATGGCAGTATATATTATCTGTATCATGTTGTAAGGCTGTAGTAACTGAAAGTTTGGATTATAATGAATCCGTTTTTTGCTCACGGAAATCACAATACTCGTTTCCTATTCTCGTGATGCTAGGTATTCATTGCTAGCTTTTATCATCAACAGTACTATGTAAATGACTATCATAAATACTTATATACAGCCACGTGAGCTTCATCTAGAATAGCATCTCAGAGGTGAACGGTGTAACGGTGTAGGCTCAATAGGTGTAGCGAATGGTAAGCGAGCGCACAGACCCGTCGATGGGGCTTAGCGAGTATGTTCGAACCTCGATGCTTCGGAAATTACGAGGGAGTTTCTCTAATTTAGAATCTACAACTCAATCAACTCTTTCTACACTGATAGTCTGGCCTATCATGCAATAAATATCACCCTTCAAAGTTGTCCCAGTATGTTGGGATCATTGATGAGTCAGCATAGTAGTAGTAGTAGTAGTAGTAGTATTATTTTACATCAGGAGAGCAGCTTAGGGCTGCCCTCAGAACCTCCCTAGGGGTATGCAGATGTTCTAAGCTATGGTCTTACAATACATGAAATAAGAGTGCCTTAGAAAGAAAAGTGAAAGCCTTACGGCCATTCCCGGTAATCGTGTGTTACCTTCCAATTTGTACATTCTCTCCTCCGCCAGTTGAGGTGGTTCTGTTGTTTTGCCTGATGTAGACAGTTATACCCAGGTTGTGGGTTTGCTATTGTATAAACTAGACAATTCAATGGACTACTTTTTGGTGTAGCTTTTCGAATATTTGTTATACTTCAGGGAGTGTTTTGCAAATATACTTTCGCATATCCTATTAATGTTCAATCAGGTTTTTCATACCTGTTAATAGTTTTGTTTTTTTGTATATGCTTTGTAGAGGAAGTTGGTAGCTTCGTTTGTATTGTACATTACAAATCAATCCTGGTAATGGATATATATTGTCATAAGGTTTTTAGATTGTTTGTTTGTAGAATACAGATTTACAATTCTTTATTTTGGGCATATGTTTTCGTAGAACTTTGTCAACTTTAGAAGCTCAGCAAATTCCTTAGGATTGTTCAGGATTTTGTGTAGGTAATGAATACTTTTTACGTTTGTTATTAGTAGTGTGGGGGGCTTGTTTGGCCATTGTTCGAAAATACCTTTTGCCTTTCGGCAATGAACCAGATATACTGGGGTTTTGGATCTTCCGCAGAAGCATTCTGTATCTCCTGTATATTTGAACTTTCTGTGATACCATCCGAAGTCTCTATAGGAAGTTCTGATAGCTATCAGCCTTTATAGAACTACTCGCAGGAATAGGAGTTCGGGCAATGGTTTGACTTTGTACATCAGATCCCATTATTTATACTACAATGAAAAAGCAGGTTCACAGAAATTCTATTATTGTTGACAGACGTTTTCTCTAAGGTTGCGTGCTATCAATCAGACCTTATTATAAATAGATTGCAAGGCTGGTCCAGTATTCTATCGGGCTTTCTTGGCTTTAAAATCTGTGAGGTAGTCCACCGCCTTGTTTTCCTCAATGTTTTTATATTCCAATAATCACTTGATCTGAATATCATATTCCTCTATAACCTTGTGGCAATTGTTGAAAGCTTATTGTAATGACATGGAGGCGTTAGCTTGCATGCACCAGATGACTGAGGTGCTGTTGATATATATCCAGATTTTCTGATTTGTATATCTAACATCTTTAAAGATATATTCAAAACCTGTTCATACCCCAATTGTTTCTGTGTCAAAGACGTGGGATTGAATGTTGATAGAGCCTGAATCTGCCAATATCTGATTCTTGCCTAGGTATATGATATATCCATAACCCACTATATACTTTCTTTACATATAGTTTTCCGATCTATCTGAGAAGATAGTAATATCTGTGACTAATAGATTTTCTTACCAGGTTTCGAAGGCTTTTACCGCCGTTTTCTTGTCGATCCTTTCTGTAGAGTCTATTCTACAGCCAGGTGTGTACCTTAGTAGCTCGAGTATAAGCCTCGGGATTGGTGGGACAAGAAGACCAAGTCTTTGGATCTTGGTTTTCATTCTTTATCTTGTATCTGACCCTCGTTCTTTAACAATCATAGAGAGTTCGATTCTTTTTGTAAGTGGATGGGTCTTGTCTATACTTTATAGATGTAGAGCAAACCTTAGTTTGACCTCCTCAAAAGCTGCCATAGTTGAGAGAAGTCCCGTTTCGCAATAGAGAGCTGTTACTAGTATGGTTTTCCAGACCAGTATAACTTCTTGTATCACTGTTGTAAGGACTTTCTCGATTTGTGTTATATACCAGCCTAGGCAGACATTGGCCTATGTTTATATTTGCCCAGACCTGGATTTTTGTATAGCCTTGAATCTTCCTCTGTATTAGGCCTCTATTCCATATAGGAATGAGGGTAGTATGTATGTTGTCACAGCCTTATACATCGAATATACTAAAAAGCTTTACACAACCTTAGCTAGGCCTTGTATATGTTTTGCTACTACCCTAACTTTACTTATACATTCTATGACATATCTTCGGAAATTTATTTTTTGATCGAACCACACTCTCAGCTATCTCAATACTAGACAGATATTTGTTTCTGTAACCATTATCGGGTAAATCGTAAATTTATCGTTTATTCTGATAATCGGTACTACATTGCCATTTTTTGCAAAGATATGTATCATTTCCAGTTTCTCTGAAACAAAAGCGATACAATTGTTCATTCTCTATTCTATAACGTCTTGGATATCTCTAGCAAGGAGTCTGGTGTTTTCTTCCAATGTTTTGGATGCTCTGTATAGGCATATGTCGTCTATATACCCGAATCTGAGGGTAATGTTTCCCGACAGTAGTTCTGCCAAATACAGTATATAAAGAACTAGGGAAAGATGGGAGCTTTACAGGGTTCTACAGGCTACTAGATACTCTTTGGTTGTGGCTTATTCAAGCCTAACTTTGACTTTCCTTTTCATTAAAAAGGAGTTGACTAGAAAAAGGAGGTTTTTGAACCAGTTTTGTTCCATTATCCTGACTAGGAGTCATCTTTTGAACAATACGTCAAATACCCTTTGTATATCCATAATGACTATGGTTACTTCTTTTCCTACTGACAATACCATTTCTACATTATATATAAAGAATGCCACTAAATCTATTGCAAAACATTTAAATAAAACCCCACCGTGTTAGGGGCTGATAATACTATATTTTAGGACCGTTTAGTCTATGCGTTTGGCGATTATTCTTTCCAGGCCTTTTCCTACACAAAAGAATAAAACTATAGATCTCTATAATCTTGCGGATATCATATCTCTTTTGCCGGTTTTGGACAACATAACTACTTCAGCTAACTTCCAGGTTTTCAGGAAATAACTATATTCAAGGCACTTTTGGAAGAGTTGTCTTAGTAAATCCTTGAAATGTTCCCAACAAACTTTAAAAAGCCTAACCATAACTCGGTCAATCCCTGGTGATGTATTGGATATCTCAATAATATTTGCTTCGACTTCTTCCATTGTAATGTAAAAGTTCCAAGGTAGTGATCTGCTTCCTTCCCACTAGTCTCCTAATAGATTGTATTCCAGATCGTCCTCTACGTTGAACCGGTTCAAAACCTTTGT